ACATATATAATTATTGTATATAAAAGAATTCTAAAATGTTAGGCATATTTATAATCAAAGATCATGGGTAGACACTATCATGCAAATACGTAACTGAAGATAAGTGTAACAGAACATCCCGAATCATGATACATGTTACTAATGAAAGTTCTATCTACAAAGTAATCTAAGTTAATCAAAGCAAAGAAAAAATGTTTACACAAAGACACCTGTAAATTTTTAGTAATGACAGAGGGCTTCTTTTGGGTATAAGCCCAGCTTTTCCCCCCAATACAGTGTAATGAAGCTGTTCTGATATTTTTAGTATGTCACTCTCATTGGTGACTCTGAATACGTCTTACTCAGCCACCAAGCACTAAGCCTCAGGCAGATTCTCCATCAGTACCCTTTGATCAAAGAACAGAAGCTGCTCACAGATGTATCCAATTTAAGCAGATAATTTCAAGCAACACCACAGTAGAAAAAGAAGGAGCCATTGTGGAGAAGAGCCAAACCATCCATGTTTGATCTACCTCATATATTATTAAATTAAATTAAAAAATAATGAAGTGACTTTAACAGAATAATTCAAGTAGTCAACAAACATTTAAGGTGAGACTTCTTGAAATGTTCTTTTCTTAATGGTGTAAGACATCTTTCCTTGGTGAGCATCCTCCACAGAAGGGGAGAAAGACCCCACACAACGCAGAGACTAAAAAGGGAGGTGGTGCATACAGTGTTCACCTGAGACCACCCACCCACCCCCGCCCTAGCCATATGTCATTAGGGTCATTCAACCCCAAACTTATAATACGGTGTACCATCCCTCATAACTGAATTTTTCTAACATGTTACTGTTAAAATGTATTAAGACTAGAGTTGACATTTTAGATTTGCTGTTACTAAAACAAAAATTTAAACATCTATAAAAGGTTATGCCACTTCATAAAAAATAGAACTCTAAACTTTTATACTAAATGACAAGTTTTTACTGTTTCGTTTATTTGCTTGTTAGTACAAACATCAATTCTCAAAACAGGTGGACTGACTAAGTGGGGATTGGTGCCTAACTCAAACTAGCAAATAATACAAAATCTCAGTAGGTCTCCTGTGTTCTCAAGGAAACTTCCATAAGTCCTGAATATTTTGTAACTTCTATGTCTATTCTTAGAAAATGACTCTCAAATGAAAAATCAGACTTCTGTGGAAATAGCTGGTCTGCATGAATCCCATAAGTTCCCAGTAACTTTCCACTATCATCACTGTGGCTCCTAAACAAGGGATTAAGACACAGTTGAAGAATCAGGATTGTGGGGACAGCCTAGAAAACCCAAAAAGTCATCGTAGAATTATCCCTTGCTTGTTTTTTCTCAAGCCAGTTTGGAAGTTTGCTTGCTTTGGTTTAACAGCTATCATTCCCAACCTTCTTCAGGCAGGGTTAAAAACAATAAGGAGAATAAATGCATAGTGGAAACCCACGGGTAGTTTCAATGGAATCTCCCTGTTGTACTTGTCCATTCTGTTCCTGTTTCTCCGGTTAGCTCCCATGAACTAGCACAGGTATCATGTCTCTAGACTAAACAAACAGGGAACAAAAACAAACAGGGCTCAGTCACAGACAGGATGCAAGGAAATTGTCGTGTAGCTCACGGAGTGTAGGATGCATTCACTGTATGTGGCAGCTACTGAGTATCTGCTAGGTGGTTGCAGTCAGCTGATCCAGAGCCTAAAGACACAAACCTGGTCTCGTGGACTGCTGTAACGATGATGGTGTGTGAACAAATCTCGGAGGGGAGAAATGAGCTGGAATGAGGCAGTCCAGAGGTTTCACAGAGAAGGTCACAAAAGAGCTGAGCCTTGGGGTCTAATGAAAACCAACTTCTTACAAGACAGACAATGGGTGGAAGCAAAATTTAGACAGATGAAAAAGCATGGGCCACACCCAAGATAGGAAACGGTAGCCATGTAGACCTTGGATTCCAGCCAATGAAGAGAAAAGGAAAAATGGGAAGACCAGTAAGTGACATAGTGGGAAAGCTTTTAGCCGTGTAATTCAACTGGGAAAAGGCGCATGCAAGCTCTAACCAAGCCACATAACAGCTCCCAGGTCCCAAGGAAACCTTGGTTCTGTCCTATGTTCCTGTATACTTGAGCAAAATGTGACCCTGTGAGCCAGGGGCAAATGTGTCTTCAATGAGAAGCAATAGCTGTTGTCCACCTATTTGAATGCAATGAAAGCCTCTACCTAAATTCAATGCATGTCCAGTGAGTGACCCCCAACTGTGGCCATTAGAGAAGTTAATCTTTGAAAATTACTCAACAAGTTAACTGTCCATACCTTTCCTTGGAATGATTGTGGTGACAGGGGTGCCAGAGCCACTTTATTGTAGGCTGAGGGATTCCGTACACAGTGCAAGTGAGGGCTTGTCTGCTGCCCAGTGGGTAGAGAGCCGGGCTCGCAAAGGATGACACGGACTTTTCATAGATCTGAGGTTTCGCTGGAGAAGAGGAGAAGCAGAGAGAAGTCAGGGGAAAGAGGCAAGGATTTCCTCCAAGGTCTCACATGAGAGATCAGTCACATTGGTTTTGACGTCAGGGAAACACCACCACAAATAAATGCTTATATTATGTAGGAAAATGCCTATTTGATTCCACAGTATAAATACCACCTGGCTGCCTGCAGGAGGTAAAAAAACAAGAAGTAATAGCTGGGTATGGTGGCACACACTTTTAATCCCAGCACTTAGGAGGCAGGGATAGGAGGAGCTCTGTGTATGAGGCCAGCCTGGTCTACAGAGTGAGTTCCAGGACAGCCAGGGCTCCACAGAGAAACCCTGTCTCAAAAAACCAACCGACTAATCAACCAACCAACCAACCAAATAAACAAACAGAAAAAGATGAAGTAGTTATGATGCAGGCAGAAGTGTGGTATTTTTTTTCTTTTGTTTCTCTCTGGTACTTGGGCTGGAACCCAGGGCTTTGAACTCACTAGGTAAGAACTCTACTATTGAGCTTCATCCCAGCCATTAGAGATGGAATATAAAAATGTATGTGGGGCTGGAGAGATAGCTCAGCAGTTAAGAGCACTGGCTGCTCTTGCAGAGGACCCAGGTTCGATTCCCAGCACTCACATGGCAGCTCACAGCCATCTATAACTACAGTTCCAGAGGATTTGACATCCTTTTTCTGACCTCAGACATCAGGTATGCATGTGGTACACATACTTGTATATGCCAATTCAGGAAAAACACTCATATAATAAAAGAGAATAAACTCAAAACCAAATATTTTTAATGTTTGTTTTCTTTGACAGTTTTTACTGGCTTTTGAACTCACAAACTGTCAATAATAGCTGTAGAACCCAAAGATCGAACAAAATTAGACTTACCATTTACAATCAGAGTGGCCGTGAGGTTTTTAGATAGGTTTGACTGCTTTATGCCCAGCACGATCGTATAGTCCCCTGCGTCCTCTGTAGTCACATCTTTGATAACTAATGAATAGCCATGCACCGAATAGCGAGCAGACTTCTCCGTTGCGGGTGAGCCATCTTTTAACCTGTGGTTAACAGCATGGTGGGTAAGTCACTTCATTCGCTTCATGATGCCACTTTGATGGCATTTGCCATTTCAGTTTGTAACTTCAAGGGGATTAATTTTGAATCTTTGGAAAACAGCGCTTTTTGTTTGTTTGTTTGTTTTGTTTTTGTTAGACACTTAACTGTTCAGTAAAGTCAGGTGAGGATTTAAATTGGGTAGCATTTCATCTTTACCCACAAGGAGGGAGGAACAGAAGATGAAGAAGACAGTGGTGGTTTTATATACCCACAAGGTACCTAAGTACCAAGTCAGAGGTTCTGGTCTGAGTCTGTCAAGCTGTCTGTCAAGTGTTTTCTTTAAGGCTCCATGAGAAGTTCCAGAACAACTCTTACACATCAGATCAACTAGACCTGATAAAAATTAAAAATAGACACTCCTATTGTGGGCTCATGTGGAGTTCTTATTAACTGCATTAATGGTCACACCAATTGTCCCTTTCATAGAGAAACTGCAATGAAATCAAAATAATCCCCCTCGAGGAAGAACAATGAAAGGCACCAGGCAACAGGAATTTTAAAATGTTTTTAATGTAGAATCAATGCCTTGATGTCATCTGTTTGTACTGGGAGTCAGGTGACCTAGTTCTCCCCTATCTGCATGCTGCCACCTGTGCAACAGATAGACCAGCTTGAGCTACAGTGTCCCTCAAAACTTCTGGAAGTTCTCAAGACCCCTTTGAACTCAGCTAGTCTATGACTTACTTATTTTTTTCAAGATTTACTTTTATTTGATGTGTTAAGTGTTTGCTTGCATACATGGATGTGCACCGTGTGTGTGCAGCACCCACAGGGGTCAGAAGAGGGCAATGGACCCCTTGATTCTGAGTTACAGATGATTGTGAGCTGCCGTGTGAGTGCTGGGAATGGATCCAGGTCCTCTACAAGAGCAGCCAGTGCTCTTAACCACCAAGCCATCTCTCCAGCCCGTGATTTTAAATGCACAGTTCTTTCAAAAGGCCCTTTCATTTGTAGTCTATGTACTGTGTTGTAGAAAGGTAAAATGGCTCTTAGTCAGGCCAGTAGACCTGGGGACAAACTCACCAGGTCTCAGCTCCAATGCAGTTAATATGGCCATGCTGTATTTTGTGGTTACAAATAGCATTTTAGTATTGTTTCAGTTGCATCCTATCTTTTTTCTTTGTTAAGTTTTCATTATTATTATTATTATTATTATTATTATTATTATTATTATTATTATTTCATTTTGCATTCCAACCATAGTTCTCCCTCCCACCCCTCCTAACCCTTTTCACCTCCCCCACCAGCCCACCACCTATCCACTTCTCTCTTAGGGTAAGGGCTCCCACAGTGTGGGGACCGACAAAGCCTGGCTCATTAAGCTGAGGCATGACCAAACTCCTGCCCCCTGCATTAAGGCTGAACATGGTATCCCACCATAGAGAATGGGCTCCAACAAGCTAGAAAAAATATGGAACACTTTGCAAATTATCATGTCATCCCTGCACAGGGACATGCTAACCTCTGTATCATTTCAGTTTTAGTGTATGTGCTGCCAAATCAAGTACCAGTTGCATTCTACGAACAAGGCATCATTTCATAAGTAGATATTTTGGTTTTTTTGTTCCTTGTTATTAAGTGACTGAATAAATCATCATGAATAGACAAGGTTTTTTAGACATGAAAGCGTGAATATGGTTCCTGGTCATTAAATTACTACAAATTATTCTATTAAATTTAATAATTTTTCTTTTCTTAAACCATACTTTTTATGTCTAGCAAGAAAATTAAAATTTTCTATTAACTTTTTAGATATTACAAAATAAAAATGTCCATTTACTTCCCACTACAATGCTGCAAAGGTGTAGTATACAGTTTTGACTTGTTATTTAATTTTCTATTAAATATTTGAGTTAGCTTCAAACAAACACCGATGGGCCAAGGGCCAGACAAGCTCTGGTGAGGATTTTCCAAGTGGCAGGGCTTCTGTATTGTATGGATTATTTTTACAATCAACTGTGAGTGGACCTTTTGTTTAAAATGTAGTGGTTTAAGCCAAAGATAATGACATTAAAAAGTAATTTAGCAAAATGACTGCAGATTCTAAACAGATTGCATTGTTTTACATAGGTGCTGTACTAGTTTGATTTTTTAAAGAAAAAAAATTGTGTAAGGCATTTCTGAATACTACAATCCAAAAAAAACAAAAAACAAAACAAAACAAAAAAAAAAAAAAAACAAAAAACAAAAAACACCTTTCATTAATTCAAGTAGGTTCACTTATCTACACCTACCAATGAGTAAGTCCTGCCACTATTTGTTGAAGTTTTAAAACAAGGCTGGGGCTTTCAACCCAGCTGCACATAAAGGAATTATTTTTGGCATCCTCATTACAAGGGCCCACTTCTTCAGGGTTAATAGAGCATGTTACACATTCAAGATGCCTCTGTGTTATTGCCCAACACATCTCATTTCGAAGAATGTTGGCATCACAGGAAGGTTTGGAGATGTGGGGATTTAGTATGTGTGAGGGACTGCCGAACTGAATGGAGCACTCAAACCCCTCACCTCTTGCTTCACCTCTGCCCAGCGCTTCCAGGTCCATCCTGCCCTCCCCAGTGTCACTACCCAGAAATCAACACAGTGTCCAGCTCTCCAGAGCTGCTCCAAGCAACTTCTCTTGGTGTCTCTTTCAGGACTGTGAGTCACTGAAGTTCTTACTTATAAACAGTATCTCAACTGACATGGAAATGATTGCGGGCCTACCATACGACTTCTGGCGAGGGGAAGGCCTTCACTTTCATGGACAGCCGATAGGACCGCTTTCCTGCTATGGTCTCCTGCACCTGCTGCTTCCGATGCTTCACACTGATGAATCCCTTTCCTTTGGAAGAAGAAACAAGGCATCAGGAAGGGATGCGCTTATGTAAACATAAGCTCACTCCTTCCTTTAGTGGAGATGTGGTCAATGAACGAATCCTGGCAGAGCCTGTTATAGGGCCTAAGTGTCAATCAATGACGCTTTCAGGCAAACTGACAGCAAGTCCCAGAGACGTGAAGCAGTGTACTGGCAACTGGAACATCACTATTGGTCACAATAACAAGGGACAGTATCTCTAAAATCTACCCAGTTGATACAGCAAAGATGGAGAAAGTTGCTCTGGGCTGGAAAGTCAAGCTGAGAAAGCTGTAAGGGTAGAAAAGTGCCTCTGATAGCACAGAGCTCTTCTCAGAACACCATTCTCCTTTGCAACAATGGACACAAAGCCTTTTAGTTATCTATCCTTACAGAATTCACATCTAATAGTTAAGCAACCATTTGGGCATTCCATGATCATTAAACCAGAAGTAGAAGAGCATGAATTCCATGTGATTTATTATATTTTTCTACATCTACTTCATGGCAGTATCAGGGAGATGGCCCCCAGATAAAGTAAAACTGATGAACAGGTTCTGATTTGTTTATATGGCATAGTAAATGAGGAAGTCATGACTGTCCTACAGTCTATGTTATTAATCGGAGCAAATCAAAACTGCCCAAATCAAAAGTAGAGTTTTTAAAAGTTGGTATTATATAGTCTATATTATATTGATCAAATTCACCTCCCCTTCTTGTGTTAAGTAAGTCCTTGAAGATCTAACCCATCTCCTCTCCACTGCCCAACTTCAAATCTTCTCTTTTATTTAATTACCCATCAATTCCAGCTTATGCTGGCATGTACTTCTGGGTGTGGGAACATCCTCTGGGGGCACAATTGACCTACAATGGGCCACATCCTTAAGAAGAACTGACTCTCCCTCCCCTGGAAGCCACCTGCTGTCCAAAGCTCCTCAGTTAGGGGTGTGGGCTTGTGAATCCCTTCCCTATCTATGTGGGAATGTTAATTGGCTTGGTCTTGTATAGACCCTGTGCTGGCAACCACAGCTGCTGCGGGTTCATGAGTGCTGAGGTCTTGTCACATCCGGAAGACATTATTTTGCTCTGGTTCCCCACAACCTCAGACTCTTATAATCTTTCTACTCCCTCTTCCCAAAAGTATTACATTTAAAGACTTCATGGCTTAATTTGCCTTTAGGGACTCAAGAGAAAGCAGCCTTCGTTCATGGTTGCATAACTCTTAGTCAAAAAAAAAAAAAAAAAACATTGACTTATTTTGTTTTTAAATAACTTACTTATTTTTATTTTATGTCCACTTGAATTTTACCTGCATGAATGCCTTTATGAGGGCACGGATCCCTTGGAACAAGAGTTAGAGACAATGTGAGCTGCCATGTGGGTTCTGGGAGTCGAACCGGGGTCCTCTGGAAGAGCAGTTAGTGCTCCTAACTGCTGAATTGCCTCTCCAGGCCCCCTTTTGCCAACTTTTAATGTCTAGAGTGCTCAGCATGTGCAGTGTAGTTCTGCATGTCGAACTTCTGCTGCTTACCGTACACATGCACGGAGGTGTTGAAAGACCTGAATGATGACCCACTTTTCACACGACAAGTGTAGAGTCCCTTATCGTGTCTCTGCACGTCATTGATCTTCAGAACGCTGTGGAACACATTGTTGTGGGGGTTGCTTTGGTCAATCCGTTGCCTTATAGAAGCTCTCTTAGTTGCCTAGAAAGAAAAGGCACAGTGGGTGTAGAAGTCTCCATAGTTTCCTGCTTAAAGTTCCAGTGTGTTAGCGTGCCTCCAATCAGGATTTAGGTCAGGAGGCATGTCAGATCGCCACAGGCCGAACATTAGGAAACTGCCTTTGTTCAGATGTGCATCAAATACGAAGTGTGCTAGCCTTTATTTAGCACTCCATCTCTTAAAATGGGCTTTCACACACATATTGTGTCAGTTGCTTTTTGAAAGCACCTAGTGAGGTCGGAGGGGCTTTGCTTTGTTACTAAGGAGGAGATGGAAGCAACAGAGATATTGGCCACAGAATACCAGGAACTTGGGTCTCTTGGGTATGCATTTAGTGATTTCTCCCCAACACAGGCTCTCCTCTACACAGTAGCCTGTCCCCTCTGCTCAATGGTGGCGTTCCTGTGAATAAGCACAAGTTTTCCTTCCTACTGATGGGAATGAAAATTCCAATCCTGGCTTCAGCTACCCCCATTTCATTAGTTCACCTGTTGAACCATGCTCACCAGCTTCTGCTAAATGCTGGTGAAGGGGGGGGGATGGGATGTGCACACCCCGAGGTCATTTAAGCCATCATCTGCAGGATCTGTGCCTTATCTCAGGGAAAGACCTCCTTCAGCTGCCTGTTAGCTACCATGGCCTGCTCACTGCAGAGAAGATGTGGTCTCCTCCAACCCTTGCATCATTTCCCCCTCTTAAATCCTTCCCAGGGGAGGGTCATGGGAAAAAGACTTGGCAGCTGTCCAGACAGAGCTGAGGGGCTTGGACCTAGTTCCCTCTACCATGCTTAGTCAACTTTCACCCACCTACCTGCCTTTTAATTCCCGGTTGGCACAGACATATGTTTAGGCCATTTGCATGGTTCTCAGCAATAACAAAAGATGCAACTGTCAATCATTGCTGTAAAAAGTCAGACGAAGTCCCCAGTGTAATAGACCAGGAGCCTCTTGGCCACCGGGTCTAGAGGCATGACTTCCCCTCTGAAGAGCTGGCTTCCCAAGTGTGTTTTTGGCAGTTTGTCCCTTGGGAAACGACTCATCCAGGCCTCCAGTGGTGCCCTGTCCAGCTCTGCAGCCACTAGCTGCATATGACTATTTAAAATAGTTGATCAGGATGAAGAATTCCTCACTGCAGCTAAGTGTTCATCTACCACAGTGGCTAGTGGATACTTTAGTGTACAAGACAGACAGAGATTTTCTATCACAGGAAATCCTACTGGACAACACTGTTTTAGAAGGTCATTGGCACTCAGTAGATATAGTACTAATACCATCTTTAAATTTTTGTTATTAATTGATTTATTTTCTGTGCATGGTATGGGTGTTTTGTCTGCATGCATGTCTATACACCATGGGTATGCTGAAGCCTGAGAAAGCCAGAAGAGGGCTTTGGCTTCCCTGGGACTGGAGTTACTGATGGTTGTGAGCCACCATGTGGGTGCTGGGAATTGAACCTGGGCCCTCTGGAAGAGCACCCAGTGCTCTTAACCTCTTTGCCATCTCTCCAGCCTCCAGTATCAACATTCCTAATAGCAATAGGAACTAGATAAAAGTCTCTTCCCCTTGAACATTTACTGAGAATTTTTATTTCTATCAGAAGATATTTGCTTCATGTTATAGCACTCTTATTTAAACAGAACAACAGTATTTTCTAGAAAATTGTCAATATCTGATCAGTTCCTATAGGGAACAGATTACATCTTTTGTTGCTAAGTTTTTCTATTTCCACAGGCGAGGGGTGAGGTGGGGAAGCTGGTGAAAACAAGTTGGAGGTGAAGCATTAATCTTTTGTTCATTATTTAATCATAAATTATTTTTGATTGGCAGTCTGAACGACATAACAAAAGCCCGTCCTTGGGATATGCAACATAAATCACACTGGCACATGAGAAATGGGAGCGGGCCTCCTGCCAGCATTTCTTCCCAGCTTATCATCGTTCTCCCATCTG